CAGGCAGTGGAGAGGCAGGCTGTAACTGTGACTGCGACGGGACAGGTGGTGGACTCAGTAGGGGAGGAGGAGTAGGACCAGGAGAGGGTGGGAGACCAAGAACCTGCTGAAGGAGCGGAACGTAGTACGGCCGCGGCCGCTCAGCAACTCCAGCTCCAACCCCCTCAGCAGCTCCAGTCCCAGCAGCTCCAGTACCTCCAGTACGAGCACCTCCAGGACTAGCAGCTCCAGCACCAGCAGCACCTCCAGCAGCTCCAGTAGTACTGGCACCAGCAGCACCAGTACCAGCAGCACCTCTAGTAGCTCCAGCAGCACCAGCACCAGTAGCACCTCCAGCAGCACCAGCAGCACCGCCAGCAGCAGCAGCACCTCCAGCAGCTCCAGCAGCACCAGCACTAGTAGCACCTCCAGCAGCACCAGCAGCACCTCCAGCAGCTCCAGCAGCACCTCCAGCAGCTCCAGCAGCACTAGCACCAGCAGCACCAGTACCAGCAGCACCTCCAGCAGCACCAGCAGCACCTCCAGCAGCACCAGCAGCACCGCCAGCAGCAGCAGCACCTCCAGCAGCTCCAGCAGCACCAGCACTAGTAGCACCTCCAGCAGCACCAGCAGCACCTCCAGCAGCTCCAGCAGCACCAGCACCAGCAGCACCAGTACCAGCAGCACCTCCAGCAGCACCAGCAGCACCTGGGTCCGCGACGCGAGGAGCGCCACTCCGGAGACTGCAGTGCCGAGCGTACCACTCGCGGAGCTGCTGGGGAGAGGGCAGCGCCCGCCTAGGAGGGGAAGCACTAGCACCAGCTCCAGCAGCGCTCCGAGCTCTAGAAGCACCTCTCCTGAGGCTGCAGTACTGTAAGTACCACTCACGCAGCTGCTCGGAGAAGAGAGCTCCTCCAGGTGTAGCACTCCCAGGCTCAGCACCCCCAGACTCAGCACCCCCAGTCTCAGCACCCCCAGACTCAGCACCCCCAGACTCCGCAACCCCAGGCTCCGCACCCCCAAGCTCCGCACCCCCAGGCTCCGCACGCTCAGGCTCAGCACCCCTAGCAGGACGAGAGTCGACAGCTACCTCGACAGGGTCAACCGGGTCTACCTGGGACACACCTGAGGGAGCGGCACCCTGAGGGGGGAGGGGGTCTACCACAGCAGCACCTGGCGCGAGGAAGAGAGGCGGGGGAGGGAGCGGGGCAGTGCGGTAGGGGAAGAGGCGGTAGTAGGGCACCGACTCGTCAAAAGTGACGTCCTGAGAGGGCAGGACACGGTGCGAGGTGGCGTGGTAAAACTGCCAACCAGACGCGTCCGGGACAAAGCCAAGGAAGACACAAGGAACAGCGCGGGAGGAGAGCTTGTCCGCAGACGTATCGCGGACAAAAGCTCGAGATCCCCAGACCCGGAAACGCGACGCATCGCCAACCTCCCCCGTCCACAGCAGTGTGGGCGAGGTCTCCGGCAAGGAGACACGGGGCCAGAGGTTGAGCTGATGCGCAGCGTACCAGACCGCAAACGGCCACAGAAAGTGGGGGGCAGCCGCATGGATCAAGGAGGTACGAGCGACCTCCATGACCAAGCCAATGCGGCGCTCAGCAACCCCATTCTGCTGTGGAGAGGCCGGAAGCGTGAACGACTGCTCAATGCCGTGCTCCGCACAGTAGGCTGCCAAGAGGTCGGAGGAGAACTCACCACCTCTGTCAGAGTGCAGACGCAAGACAGGAAAGTCCGAGTGGAACCGCTCGCTGAGCTGGAGACGAGAAGCACGGATCCAAGGGATCAAAACAGCAGGGACCTCACCCTTGGTGCGCAAGGGGAAGACCGTGGTGTAGCGCGAGAAGTCGTCAACAACGATCAGGAAGTACCGCTCCTGACCCTGTCCACGGACGCGGGCTGGGCCCCACACGTCCATGTGGAGCGTCTGCAAGGGAGCAGTCGTCGGGGGAAACGAGGAGGAGTGAAGAGCGGCGCGCTGCCGCCCCTCGACACAAGGAAGACAGGGAGGAGCAGGCGAGGGAGGGAGGGGAGGGAGTACCCGGGGAAGACCAGAGACAAGGTACCGTTTGTGCATGGCACGAAGGCGCTGCACTGACGGGTGACCAAGGCGGTGGTGCCAGAGAACAGTCTCGTGCGCCAGAGAGCGACACGAGCAGGGGGCGGACAGCTGACCTGACGCAGACGCAGACGCAGCTACCTGAGGGGACTCAGTGGTCAGTGTGTACAGGTCCGACCCCGGCTGCCTAGTGAAGGTAGCCAGGTGACGGCCCGTCCGAGCACACGTGCAGTGTGTCACACGCTCGTAGGCAGGGGTGAACTGGTGGACACCCCCGTCCTGGAGGGCACAACCCGCCACCAAGTTCGTAGAGAACGAGGGGAGGTGGAGACCTGACAGAGTGCCCGACGGAACCGCAGGACAAGGAAGGACAGTGGAGGAGGTCGCAATGACCGGACCCCCAGAGGGGTCAGCAAGGGAGACAGCAACTGGCCGAGCAAGTTGCTCGAGGGCAGTGCGGTCACGAAAGAAACAGCGAGAAGCACCTGAGTCTAGAGTGAAGGTGTGCAGTGCCTCAGTGGACTCAGTACCAGGGGGCGCAGACTCACTAGTACCTGGAGCAGCAGCCTCACCAGCACTTGGGGCAGCAGACACGTAAGCACCTAGCGCAGCAGCCTCACCAGCACCTGGGGCAGCAGACACGCAAGCACCTAGAGCGGCAGCCTCACTGGTGCGAATGCCCGGGTCGGGCGGAACACGCAGGTACTGATCACCCTCTCCACTAGTAGACAGCACATATATGGCAGTGAGAATAGCATCAAAGTCAAGAGCAAAGACATCAATGTTCTTCTTCATCAGATCCCACCAGCGGGGCAGCTCAGTGGCAGTAGGGAACTGAGTGCGCCAAGCGTCGTCGAGGCGGGAGAAGCAGCGCTGCGTGGCGTGCGCCCTCCCACACGTGTGGCCAGTGCGCTCACCAGTGCGGATGACGTACGTGCAGCTAAGGCCACCCCCCCCCCCCCCCCCCCCGTGCTGAGAGTACCACTCACGAAGCTCCTGAGGAGAGAGAGTCTGCTGTCCGCCAGTGCCACCACGACCACCACCTCCGCCGCCACCACCACGACCACTACCGCCCCTGCCGCCGCCTCGTCCACCGCCGCCCCAACCACCGCCCCCACCCCGGCCACCTCCTCCGCTGCTGCCGCCACCACCCCCACCGCTGCCACTAGCCCCTCCTGTCCCGCCACCACCCCCACCGCCTCCACCGCCCCCACCACCACCTCCCCCGCCGTCACCTCCACCTCCCTTGCCCCCTTTGCCCTTGCCGCTGCGGCGCCAGCTCGGAGCGGACGCAGTCCCGACCTGCTCAGTAACAGCTAGGTCGACAGCAGCAGCAGAGGCGACAGAGGGGAGCAGGGGGGAAGGGGAACACCCCTCAAAGAACGGGGTGCGGGGGTCGCCACGAGAGGCAGCTACAGCGACTATGCTAGTCTCGGCTGCAAGCAGTTCCTTCTCGAGGAGGTCTATGGTGAGCTCAGTGGGGGAGCGAGCGAGGAAGTGGTCCCTGACCGCACGAAGAGAGTCAGGGAGACGGGTGACAAGGTGGTAGAGAGTGAGCCAGAGCGGGGGGGGATGGGTGACAAGAAACTCAGCGGGCATAGCGGCACGAAAGCGAGCCTCACTAGTGCGGAGGTGCGTGGTGAGGTCGGCGACTGTGGCGAAAGCGGACAGGTCTGGGAACAGGTAGGGGAGCGAGAGACGGCCTAGCGTAGCAGAGGCAGGCGAGGAGTAGCGCGCAACTACAGCAGTGTACAGTGCCTGTGCAGTTTTGTGCTGGCCAAAGTGCTCGCGCTCATCTACCGGCAGGGAGTTGCGAATGGCAAAGCGAGCGTGGGCGTCACGAGTCTGCCACTGTGAACGGGCAGTACTGTCAGCAGTAGTAGCAGGGGCAGCAGCATTGCCTAGTGCGTGATCGTACAGCGAGATATCCTCCTTGGCAGTGAGCTGGAGGAACAGGTGCAAGTCATCGAGCCAGGTCTCAAACTTTAGTGGGCGACCCTCAGCATCGAAAGCTAGAACAGCAGGGCTAGCCATAGTTGCAGTAAGAGCAGTAGTAGCAGCAGAAACAGTAGCAGTAGTAGCAGCAGGCGAAACCCTAAAAGCAGTAGGCAGTGCGACTCGGGTAGGGCGGCTCGGTCCAGGGAGGGCTGCTCAGTACGGGGAGGGCGGCGCGGCTCGGTTCGGGCGGCGCGGCTCGGCTCGGTTCTGGGCGGCTCGGTTCGGGCGGCTCGGTTCGGGCGGCTCGGTTCTGGCGGGGCCGTGGCGGTCGCACGTGGGGGGCGGCTCGGTTCCGACGGGGCCGTAAGGGGCCTCTAAGAGGCGAGCGCGGGGCCGACGGGGCCGCTAAGGGGCGGCGCGCGAGGTCGATGGGGCCTTAAGGGGCCTCTAGGGGGCGGCGCTCGGGGTCGACGGGGCCGACGTGGCCGCTAAGGGGCGGCGCGCGGGGTCGACGGGGCCGTAGGGGGCCGCTAAGGGGCGGCGCGCGGGGTCGACTAGGCCGTAAGGGGCCGTTAAGGGGCGGCGCGCGGGGTCGACGGGGCCTTGAGGGGCCGCTAAGGGGTCGACGGGGCCGTAAGGGGCCTCTAAGGAGGGGCGCACGAGGGCGCCTAGACAGTGAGGCGCACGAGGGCGCTAGGAGACAGTCAGTGTGGTGGGCCCTTAAAAAAAAATTTCGGTCCTAGCGGAGGACCTGCTCTGAAACCATGTTAGAATGTACGAAACAGGAATGGTTGAATTAGCAAAGAAATGAGTACAAGTACCTAACCCTAGAATTGTGTACCCACTAAAGGCTAACCCACTGTAGCCTAAACAACTACAACAGATATAATGTTTGACAATTTGCGCCCTCCCGCTTCTTTTCAAAAACAGGCAGCAAGAAAAGCAGCACAGCAACACTCTTGGCAGCCCCTCCCCCGCAGTGGTGTCTTATCGTGGGTTTCCATGATAGCACCTCAGCTCCCTACTCCCGCCCCTCCCTCCAACCACTCCAAAGTGACTCCGGTCCCTCCTCCCTCTCCTCTGCTCCCCCGCCCCCACCACCTGCACGGCTTCCCCCCACTCACGCATGCACAGGAAGAGCAGGAGCACCCCCGCCCCTCCCTCCCCCCCCCACACCCCCCCCCTTCCCCCCCCCCCCTTCCCCCCCTTCCCCCCACCCAAGAGCCCATGCCCCACGCGTCAGTGGAACAACATGACACAGAGGCAGATCAATCCCCGCACCCTGCAATGGACAATAAATCCCTGCATCCTACAATCACATGGTACAGCTGTGCATTGCATTCCTTCACCTGCCTGCACTCTTTGAGTCCAGGCCTGTGCTGCCCACTTGCCCTGCAGACCCCACTTCGTAGATTCTCTGGAGCTCTTCGGGGGCGTCGTAAGAGATGTTGTTGAAGGGCGCATGCATGTCCATGCCGTACACTCGCCTCACAATGTCGTACGTCTCCTGCACAGAGGGGGGGAGGCAGCACGTGCGCGTGAGTGAGCGAGCAGGCATATGGGATGCAGAGGTTGTTGTGGTGGACTCACTTGCTTGCTGGCATGGCTGGGCTTAAGGCTACACTTGTGTGCAAATCTCCGCAAGGCGACGGGAATTTAGAAGCGACAGGACTCATATGCCACTTGTCTCTCAGAGAACGTGCGAAGGCCACCTTATTCTTGAACATCTGCTCGTGCAACTTGGTCAGGTGGACCTCCGTTTCAAAATCTATCACAACACCCGCGTAGTCCAAGCAACTGCAATTAGTCAAAGAACTAATACTTTCACCTCAAATTCCTCGCATTCTGCAATTGCTGCATGCCCCTCACCTTATTGGTGAACATGTGCTGCATCTGCTCTTTCGACTTGGTGGGGTGGATCTTCTTGCCAAAGTCAAAGGCATCGCCGGGGTCCCTGCCAAAGTGGTGCATGACGGCTCGCACGTCCGCGTCCATGCTCTCAAACCGCCCCACGTAGTCGTAGCGTATGCGGTCCAGCCCACACAGGACGTTCTGGCGGGTTGGGAGACGGAGGCAGGGCGTTGGAGCATGAGGAAAGGGGTTGAGGTAAGGAACAGCATCCCGTGCATTCATTCAAACCTCCCACGTAGTCATAGTGTATGCGGTCCAGCCCATACAGGATGTTCTGGTGGGTGAGGGGGGAGTCGAGGAGAGGTATGGGGTGGGATGGAGGGGGGTGAAAGGGATGCGGTCCAACCCACACAGGATATTCTGGAAGAGGGAGGAGGGGAGGCGGGTTTGGGCCATGGGGGAAGGGGCGGGGGTAAGGCTCTCAAACCGCCCCACGTAGTCATACCATATGCGGTCCAGCCCACACAGGATCATCTGGCATGGAGGCGTGAGGGGTTGTGTGAGGGGAGGGTGTGGTGGGGAGGGGAGGAGGGGGGTGGAGCACGGAGAAGGGACTTGGGATATGGAACAACAAAGCCTGCTTCCTGAGAGGCAACGAACAAGCAACAAGCAATTCTAGATGATCATGTGTGCTCCTCATTTCTAGATTCACTAATTCACTTTCGAAAACCCTAGAGGTTTAGGATTTCGTTAGGAATTTTTTGGCCCAATGATGTCCCATGTCCATCTCCCCCTCCTCCCAATGCCCTAGGCGATGTTTTTTTGCCTGCCCGAACGTTTTTTAACCCTGCCCGCCCCTGCATTTTTTTCGCGTTTCGGGAACTGTCCATTCTGCGTTCAGCGTTTTTAACGCTGCGTTTAAACGCCAGCGTTCAGAACGCTGAACCCGTTTTTCGTAACATAGCCTGAGGGGCAGGGTGCAATGACAGTACCTGAGGGGCAGGGTGCAATGACAGTACCTGAGGGGCAATGTGTTCGTCGAGGAACCAGCGCCTGTCCTCGTCCCACGCATCCCCCAGCAGTTGCACAAACTCATCAAACGACAGCAGATGCCCCATTTCCATCTCAATCTTGTCCTTCCACACCCCCCACCAGCTGCCCTTCATCCCACCCCCCACTTCTGCTGCTGCTGCTGCTGCTGCTGCTGCTGCTGCTGTTGCTACCCCTTCACCCACTTCCGCCCCTCCAGCAGAGGAATTTCCTTCACTTGCCCGGAATCTGAGTCCGTCCAATGCCCTGAGCGCCCACAGCTGCCCAAAATACTTCCTTGTCCAGAACTGCCGCCCGAACCCGTCCGGCCCGCCGCCCGCCACATGCTTGTTGAGATACGCAGATACGATTCTGGTGAAGGGCTGCCGGACGAACACGAACCTGGTGTAGTCGGTTCGGGTGATGGCTCGGATGGCATCAGGTTCGGAGAGCGAATACCAGACCTCGGTGACGTTGCTGGTGGCTGGCAGGTGGGTGTCTAAAAGCTGGTTGGGGTTGGGGTGGTGATGCTGCTGCCGAATCCACACCTTCCAGCTGGTGCACCCCACCTTCTGCACTGCACAATACACCATGCCCACTTTGTCTGATGGAGGGTGGGCGGGGCACGGTGAGGTGGAAAGGGATGGCGAACAAGGGAAAAGGAGTGAGAGTGTGACACTAGGTGTTTCAAGAGCCCAGAGAGGAGGCAGACCTTCCAGCTGGTACAACAGACCTTCTGAACTGCACAGTACACCATGCCCACTGAGTCTGATGGCGGGTGGTGTAGTATGGTGGGGCGGGAGGGAGGCGAAGGAGAGAGGGGAAAAGGACTGGGTTCTAGAGAGGACATTGGGTTACGGGGGCAAGAGGAGCGCGAGAGGGTGCTGTTTAGCAGGAGTGTCAACAAGGCAGGAGGGGGCAAGAACGGCCAGCGCGCACAGCACCTTCAGACAGTTTTGGGATTTCTCAAAAGTGACACAGGCTGGCCCCAATGAGCAAGTGGAGGCGGATACTCACCATCCACGATCAGCTGCTTGCCAATGCGGTGCCTGTTGATGGGCACCATAGGCGCCGCATGGCACAGCCCGCGCTCCACCTCAAACACTCCACGTTCCGCGCTCGCGCCCCCCTCCCCGCTCCCCTCCCCGCCCTCCTCCCCCCTGCTTCCGCCCACTGCCGTTGGCGCACCCCCCGCTCCCCGCGGAAAGCTCTCCGGGGCGACCAGCACGTCGCGCACGAGGGCGGGGCTGCCTCTGGCGGAGGCCTACGCGCGGATGAGGTCCGCCTGGGGGGAGTGCTGCAGGTGAATGAGCCCCCGCGCAGCAGACAGCGCGAACAGCTCCGCTGCTTCTAGTTGCGCGCACTCTATCTAATCGCCCACTCCCCGCGCCCCCTGCTCCACTCCGCCACTCCCCCCGCTACCAAAGCCGATCCCCCCGCCACCTCGTAACCTACCCGTTCCGCCTCCCTCTCCGCCGATTTCCGCCGGCCTGTCAAACCAGCCCAGCTTTCCCAACCATCCCCGCTCAGCGATCTCCCGCGGAGTGGGATCCGCGGGGACGATCGGCGGAGGGAGCGGTTCCCCCCACGCGGGGTTGGGGCGGCAGATGGCGGAGCGGCGCAGGGTTGCGCGGAGGAGGTGCGGCTGGCGGGAGGGGTGGAAGGTATGAGCAACAGCCAGCGCCTGCGACGGCCAGAAACCTGCCACCGTGGCATCGCCGTCGGGCTGGCCGAGAAAAAACCACATGAGGCGGCGAGCCGTGCAGTTGACCGTGAATTTAGGGTCGCACCCGGTGCAGAGTGGTGATAGAGGGTAAAGCGCTACCGGCTCCATGTACACCGCTGTGCTCTGCTGGACACGTGTCATGTTCTCCTTGGCTATCAACTCCTGCACGCCTGTGGACGGCTGTAGCAGGCTGTAGCAGCGCTGGAGGGAGGTGTAGAGCTGGGAGTCCTCCACGTCAGCAAGAGTCGCGGCCATGGGGGGGAGGGATGCGGAGAGGAAAAAGGCGACGCGCAGGCGGCGAGGGCGATGCGCGGAGGGAAGAGGGTGAGAGGCGGAGGTAGAGAACGTGCCAGACTGTTTTTCCTGTTGCTGCTGCAGCTGCTCTTGAGATATTGGCTGGGGAATTCTCGAGTCTAGAGTCTGTTGTGATGCGTCATTGCACCAGGACCCAACGGCGCGGTTGGGGAGAGGGAGAGTGGGGAGGGTGGGGAGAGAGGGAAGGGGAGAAACAAGACCAGGATTGCGAAAAAAAAAAAAAGGCAAACTTTCGCAAACGATGAGCTGAGGACCAAGCACGCTCGCATGTGAGGTGAGCCAACTGGGGCGGTGGTGCATCACGATCGCCTCGTCGGACGCATCCGCCGGGAACGACGCCCACTCCTGCGCCTGCTCGCCCTACTGCCCGCCGCTTTGCGCGGCGCCGAGCGTGCTCGGGGGAGGCAGAGGGCCCAGCACGTGGTTGAGCGTGGCGTGCGGCATGACTCGATCCGGCAGCCATAACACGGCCAGGCCCAACGGCCGCTGCGGTGGCTGCTGGGAAGACGCGGTGCTGGTTTCTGGAACTCCGGCCGGCAGCTTGGACGACAGGAGGTGGTGCAGCGCGTACCCCGCGCACACTGCCTCCAGCCGCTTGTGAAGCGGACCCTGGATTTGCGGGATTGCATATGACAGAGGAAGGAGGGAGTGAAGACGAGAAACGGGAATCAAAATGCCGACATCATTGAGGAACAGCGAATACACATGAAACGCATTCCGTTGAATCTCTTCAGTGCCAGTCGTCACAAAAAAAATGTTTGTTGAGGAAGCGCCGTCTGACAACCATCGTGAGCCGTTCAATTCAAACACGAGAGGATTTCTAGTACAAAGGTTACCTTAGCCCATATAACGACGTCCGGGTGAGAGACAATACGGTTCAACCTCCTGCCTTCCTCCGCCCCGTCTGCTGATGCTTGTCTCGCAAAAACCGGCCGAGGATTAGAGAAAACGAGGAATTTTCGGCCGTCACCGGTGGCTGTCATTAGTGCTTCGCGTGTAAGCGCTACGAAACTGATGACGGTGAGCACTGCAATGAGTTTCGACATGCGTCGCCACGTGGCGTTCTTGGAACACACTGCTGAAAATGCACCCTTGTCGCTACAGACGAAGTCACTACAGTTGCTTCGAGCGTTGAAGGACCAAGCAAGATGCTTGCTCATACTCGCTCGTAGAGTCGCGTCAAATCTTCTTCGGGAACGCTTTTAGCCATCGGATCTCAGTTTTAGTACTGTCAGCTAAGAATACAGTGTAACAGTCCTGAAGCTTCCACACTAGAACGTTCACGTGACTCTCGGCATCATCCACCTCTACTCCACCGCCTGCCAAAGCGACCGTTTAGGGGCGACCGAACATAACGCTGTTGTCCTGAACTGCAAAGCAATCAACACGGTTAGCTATTCTAGCTAATCTAGAGTTGTAGAGCGGTGGGAAACACCTGAAAGGGAGGGGGAGAGAATCGGATGGGGGAAGGACGGTTGGGGAGAGGACGGATGGGGAGAGGACGGATAGGGAGAGGACGTATGGGGAGAGGACGGATGGGGAGAGGAGGGACGGGGAGAGGAGGGATGGTATGAGGACGGATAGGGAGAGGAGGGACGGGGAGAGGAGGGATGGTATGAGGACGGATAGGGAGAGGAGGGACGGGGAGAGGAGGGATGGTATGAGGACGGATAGGGAGAGGAGGGATGGTATGAGGACGGATGGGGAGAGGGAGAGGAAGACCAGAGAAGTGATGGACGGGGAGGTGAGGGATGGGGAGATGTGGGATGGCGTGACGATGGACGGGGAGGAGAGGAGAGAGCGCACGGGTGCGATGAGAGGGGAGGGAGCGTAGGCGTCGGAGGGGAGAGAGCGTGCGCGTCGGAGGGGAGTACGTGTGTGCGATGGGGGTCAAGCAGCCACTGCCGCTCTCCACAGGGAGGAACAGGGCAGAGGGTGGGGGGAAGGAGGGCTGAGGGTGGGGGGAAGGAGGGCTGAGGGTGGGGGGAAGGAGGGCTGAGGGTGGGGGCAAGGAGGGCTGAGGGTGGCTGTAGCACGAGCACAGCAGCAGCTGTAGCACGCGCTTCCGGTTGTCCCTGTTGGGCGGAGGGTGTGGGGGCGGGAAGGGGAGAAACATGGGAGAGGGGGCGGGAGAAGAATAGGATCGAGGGCGCGGGGGAAATAAGGGAGAGGGCGATCGGGAGAGGAAACGGGGAACGTGTTGAGACGGAATGGGGTGAGGCGGAGAGAGGTGAGGAGGAGATGGGGTGGGGCGGACTGAGGTGGGGCGGAATGGGGTGGGGCGGAATGGGGTGGGGCGGAAATGGTGCCACTCACGGTGTCGCAGCGAGGGATGGGATGATGAGGGATGGGAAAATAAAGGATGAGGACATGAGGGATGAGGAGGTGAGGAATGAGGAGGTGAGGGATGGGGAGGCGACTGAAGGGAGTGCGCATGGGCGGCGGAAGGGAGTGCGCATGGGCGGCGGAAGGGAGTGCGCACGGGCGGCGGAAGGGAGTGCGCATGGGCGGCGGAAGGGAGTGCGCATGGGCGGCGGAAGGGGGTGCGCATGGGCTCCGGCGTTGATTGCGTGTGGGCGACGGAAGGGAGTACGTGTGGGCGACGGAAGGGAGTGCGTGTGGGCGACGGAAGGGAGTGCACATAGGCGACGGAAGGGAGTGCGTGTGGGCGACGGAAGGGAGTGCGCATAGGCGACGGAAGGGAGTGCGTGTGGGCGACGGAAGGGAGTGCGCATAGGCGACGGAAGGGAGTGCGCATAGGCGACGGAAGGGAGTGCGCATAGGCGACGGAAGGGAGTGCGCATAGGCGACGGAAGGGAGTGCAGTTAGGCGACGGGAGGGAGTGCGCATGGGCTTCGGACGGGAGAGCGCATGGGCGACGGAAGGGAGTGCGTATGGGCGACCGAAGGAAGTGCGGGTGGGCGACGGAAATGGAGCTTATCGTGCGGGATAGAGGGGAGTGAGCTGGGCGACGGGAAGAGGGTGAGCGTGGGCAACGGAAAGGAGTGAGGAGGGGCGTAAGAGGCGTTGCGCGGAGGCGAAGGGAGGGGAGGGAGCGTGATCGGGACGGGAGGGAGCGCTCATACTCCTTTGAGGGGTGTGCGCGAAGGCGTCTTTTGAGGGGTGTGCGCGAAGGCGTCGGGAGGGGAGTGCGCGAAGGCGTCGGGAGGGGAGTGCGCTATGGCGGTGGGGGGAAGTGTGCGACGGCGACGGGTCACGTGGGCGACGGAGAGGCATGAACCCGCGCGACGGCGGCGATGAGAACGCCACAAAGTATGTGTAACGCGTCATGCTCTAATCTGGACAGAGGCGGGCGCGGCTAGGCACAACCGCGACATCGATGCGCCTGGCGATAGGGAAGTGAAACCGCGGACGACGATGGGCATGTGCACGTAAATGGTTACTGCTCTTCCCGTGCCGTGAGAACGCGATGTAAGGCGTGCGGAAAGCAAAGGCGACTCAGCTCGTCGGAATGGAGGCGTTGTACCAGAGCGTATTGCGGAACCCTAAACTGACGTGGAAGTCAGCGCGGTAACTCTCTTCTAAGCTATGGCTTTCCCAAGTTTGGCCCTGGACTCTGTGTTTTTTGTCGACCTGAATTACAGATTTTGAGCTTGGTGTGCACACCCCAGCCAAGAGTGGTGGTGAGACCCACGCGATCCTCACCCACGCACCCTGCGACTTTCCTCACGTTTTGAAGGTGAGACCTGGTAACCACCCTGGTTCCTCTCCAACTTTTTTTGTAATTCAGGCTGCGGGTTTTAAGGTTATATAAAGGTCGTAACCATGTACAGAAAAGCATAGAGCAGCTAGAGATGTGGTCTACACAAACCAAACGCCCAAAGGCGTACGTAAGAAACACGTTATCTCCATATCCTACGGATAACCACCAGCACGGCTGGAGAGCTCTCTATGCTAAAAAAAAAGGGGAGCTCAAGGGGGGCGAAAAGGGTCATCAAGCAGCCAGGATGCGCGGAGGTCAGGGCGAATAGAAAGGGTGCCGTCATGGTAAAAAACGAGGAAGCGAAATTGAGTGGCCAGCTTGATACGGACGGCTGAGCGTCGTTGTTTTTTCGCGGATTGTTTCTTCCTTCGCCAGAGAAAGATTTTGAACGCAATGAGGAACTGTGCTAGGATGAGTTGGAGAATCTCAAACCGGGAGGAGGGTGGGTCTTGGAACTTGTGTTCACAGCGCGCGTTCCAAATGGCTTTTGCAGATGCTCCAACCAAGAGGCTCCAGGAGGCCACCTGGCCAGCTCTAGAGGCGAGTGGAAAGAGCAGGAGCTCAGGAGGAGGAGAGCAGCGGAGGTGACGACGAGCGACGGAGGAAAGAGCAGAAATCACTACAGGGGCCATCCCGCACTCATAGAAGATATGGGAGATAGTCTCTGTGGGTGCGGCAGTGCAGAGTGAACAAATCCCTCGATCTGCGGCAAAGTTGAAGCGCGAACCCGAAGGAAGAGTGCGAGTGTAGAACCGGTACAAAACATCGCGTTGGAGACTGGGTTGCTCGCGTAGGAAATCGTGGGAGAAGTCAGGGAGGAGAGGAGGAGGAGCTGGGAGGACGTGGATCCAGTGGGCGGCGTGGTCAAGTGGAAGCTGAGTGTAGAGGCGGCGACGGATGTCAGCTACACTTGGGCCTCCGTCCTGTAGGATGTCAAGCCGCGCGCCGAGCCCTGCACCTGTATAGAAGGGGCCTGCAAGCCAGGACCCAACGACATGCACCGCGCAGAGGTCACCTATGTTGAAGGTGCCATCTCCGAACGACGAGCGGACGATGAGCCGATTGGGAAGGACACGGTGAAGGGAGGCTGAGAGCGATGCCGGGGGAGAGAAGGCCGTGACTTGGAGAGCAAAAGTGGGGGAGGAATCAACATCGTCTTTGGGGACGAACCACTCCCCGAGAGTTGCCGACGGGGGAGGAGGGGAGCGAAGGGCTGACCACCAGGGTTTGGGGATGGCACGGACAAGGTCTCTCCAAACTCTCCGTCCAGCAGAGGAGTTGGCGAGGGGAAACACGGAGATAAAATGGTTAAAGGAGACCACGCCAAGTGAGTGAAAGAGAAGTGAGATCAGGTGACCGACACGAATCTGCATGGTGAGGAGGAAACGTTCACGCAACAGAATTCCAAAGGGCTTCCTGTTCGGTTTGAGAATGAAACGGTTGAAGGCGGTAGGCTCAGCCATAATACACATAGGGACGAGGCGAGGCGGGGAAATATCCGGGGAGAGTTCTATCACTGCTTGCAATTCGGCGAGCGCTCGACTCGGGACGACCTCTGGAAGAATGCCTGATTTGAGGATAGCAGGGTGCGCTAAGAGACAGTGTGTGCCGAAAGGGAGGCAAACGGCGGCTCTCGCCACTTCCTCTGATGGTGAGGCGCCAAAGCGACGAAGCGCACGATGAGTGGCTAGAACACGGATTTGGGTGGAAGGAGCGATCGCCCCGAGACCTCCATGTCGGGTGGAATTGTATAGGAGGCGATTGGGGATGAGGCGGACCGCAAGGCCGTGTTCCTTGAAACGAGAGGAAGAAAGGAAGTTCCCGACCAGGACGTCAAGCCGATTAATAATGTCAGTGGAGGGGGTTTGAAAGCGGCCAGGGAAAGAGAGAATGGAGTTTAAGAAAACCGACGCAAGTGACTTGCGGCAGGTAGCTGTGGCACGGAGGGCGGCAAGGAACTTAGCCGTACGTTGAATACGAGAGAGGGTCATGGACCAGGTAGTGGTGCCTGGTTGTGCTCGTTCGACGTAGATACCAAGGATACGTTCTGCCTCTTGAGGAGTGCGAATGGGAATGGGGCCAGCAAGGATGATCTGTTCCGGGGCAATGAAGAAGGGGATGATTTAGCATTTGTTCTAGTTGGGGTGTTCTCCAGAGACAGCGGCAAAGGTCCGGAGGTGTATGAGTGTGGTCCCAAGCTCTCTGGCGGAGGAGAGGAAAATGGTGACGTCATCAGCGTAGCAAGCCATGAGTCGGCGTTGTGTCGGAGAGAGGGGAAATCCCGGGAGGAAGAGGGATAGGTAGCGTTGAAAGATTTCGATGACACACACAAATAGGAGGGGGGCGAGAGGGCATCCCTGTCGTACCCCCGTTCGAACAGGGAAGGTGGGCCCGGCAAGGTTGTTAACAGAGATGCAGGTGGAGGTATTGGTGTGCATGAGGCGTACCCAGGCGATGAAGTGCTCAGGAAGTCCCAGCGTAGCAAGCGCTTGGAAGAGAAAGGCGCGGTCAACCAGGTCATAGGCCTTGCGGAAGTCAACAGTTAAAGCAAGCAGGGGGGATTTAGTGGTTGTGCTCTAGTCAAATATGTCGAGTGTGTCATTGATCGTGTCACTGAGTTGTAGAGCGGTGGAGTTGTGTGAACGACGCACAGGAAAACGCGGAATGAGCTGACCGAACAAAAAGGTCGTCCACGAAGAACGCGGGGGGTGGATGGAAGGGCGAGGTTAAGGTTATATATTGATTGTAATCAATGTACAAAGAATAATACCATAGAGCTATCTAGAAACATGGCCGAGATGGTCAGTATCATATAAGGAGCACGTGGAACAGACGTATACCCCATCAAAATCCGGATCTCTGGCGAAAACATCCGGAATGTTCATGAAATTCCGGATGTGCACCCTGCTATCGTGAGCCCTGGCGAGGAGGAAGGCGGAGGGGGAGGTGAAAGGGAAGGAATGAAAGAGCCGATGGAGGTGGCGGACGTCCGTCACCAGCCAGATTCCCGAACAGGGGGAGGTCCTCGAAGTCGTTGTGACAGATCCAAGGTCCAGGGGAGCTTAGGTGGGAATGGGAACTGGCGCAACTGGACTGAAATGGTCGTCCTTGATTTCGTTGCTCAACTCGACGACGGACTAAAACCGAAGTTCGGTAAGCCTGGTCCGCCTTACGGCGTGTTGCAATTCGCGGTGCACTCCGTGGGCTCGGCTCGGGGCACGGGTTTAGGAAGGCTCTAGGAAAGCAAGAGGCCTTATATATTTTACAGAAAACGCGCAAAAACATTCTATGTCCTAAAATATAACATTGTCAAATAACTCTTTAAATCATTAACTTGAAACGTTTCTATGCCCGGGTTTGGCCTCCCGCCTGCCTGGAGCCTTCCAATCGTCACGAGCCGATGCAGTGCACCGGAAATTGCAACACGCCGTTATTTTCAAGGCCCCGACCGTGTTTTTGTAGAGTCCCTGAGTGATTATTTTACTAGTGAGACGGACAAATAAAACGAGGATATCAGAATAACCAGAAGGCCATTCAAACTAATAAAACTCGCACTTAGCGATCCAAGTGAAAGGGCGGATTGGCAACGACAAAGTTGCTGCTTGCAGTCAGCTCGCGAAGGAAATGCGCGATTACCTCCCCGCGAAAATTCTTTCTGTTACGATAAGGAATTTGTGAAAGCATTCATGTACGTAACAAGACAAAGGCACAATCAGAGATAAAGACGAATGATCAGGATGACGAGAAGGGTCGCGACAGTTGGAGCATCTGGACCGTCAGCGGCAGAAGCATGGGGCAACTACATCGCCAAGGAAAAAGGCGGGAACCGGTTTGAAACAGGTTCTCGCGCCGCATAGTTGAAATTCGCTTATGAATTTACCCCTTAGGGTGAGAAGAAACGAGGAATGAAATGACTAAGTGAAAGTTGGGTACAAGAAGCAAACCCTAGACAACTGTACCCCATATGTGCTACCCCACTATAGCCTACAGTAGCTATGTCATATAAATCTGACACACCCCCATAGGCAAAGTGGGGGAGAACAAGGGGTCACAAGACCAGTCAAGCAAAGCAAAGCAAAAACAAGCTCAGGGTGGATCACAAAGTCACCACACATTCCGAGCACAAGTTCAAGGCCACAAGGCCAGTTCACAAGCAGGAGTACACATATATATAACAAAAGGCTAGACAAACAAGAGCAGGTATATATATATGTAACCGTACAAGCAAGGTCAAGAGGTGAGCAAGTGAGGCAAGGTAGGCACAAGGCCCAGCTGAGTACAGAAGCGCTGATGGTCACAAGGCGCAAGTGCCTTGGTGAAGATATCAGCAGTGTTGGCCTCAGAGGCCACGTACGCAAGACGCAGCTGACCACGCTGCTGCAGCTCACGAGCAAGAAAGTAGCGGAGAGCAATGTGCTTCGTTCTGTGCTCCAGTCGCTGCTCCCGACACAAGGCCAGCATGGCCTTGTTGTCTACGTACAGCACTGGAGGAGAACGAGGCAACTCTCCGAGGTCAGTCAGCAGGTAGGTGAGCCAGCGAAGCTCCTGTGCAGCCATGGCTCCTGCG